CCTCCGCCGCCGCCGCAGAAGCGCCTTCATCTCCTCTGTTCTCCGGCCGGCGGCAGCCACCCTCTCCCTCGAGAACTTGTAACTCCTGAGATACACTTTCCGGCACAAAATGCCGTCCTCCGCCCTCCCACATGGCGGCGCTCCGCCGCGGTCAGCGGCCGACTCCGGCCACCTGTAGATGTTGACATAATTGGTGCTGATTGGGTCCCACGCATTGTTCACGCGGCTTGATATGCATATTTTGTTCATTTTTTTTTTATGATTTGAAATGAAATTTGAGGTTTATTAGGAAGTTAGTGCGTAATTGGGCTATAAATAGAAGAAGAGAGACTGCGAAATTTTGAGGATACAAGAAATGAGAGCGGTCAATATCTATATCTATATCTATATCTATATCTATATCTATATCTATATATATATAAAGAGGTTGTTGGAAAAATACATTAATAGAAAGTTTGACCAAATAAATATAATGTTTGACTTACTACTAATAGAAAGTTTGAAAAAACACATGTAAATCTTTAGTAACAAAATCTGAATACTATTTTTTTTGTAACAAATTTGGAGATTCTTATTGCAAAATTTGAATCTCATTTTTTTTGTATAATATTTTTTATTTTTTTACCAAAATTTAAATCATATCTTTTCTGGTAACAAATTTGGAGATTTTTATGCAAAAAATGTGTCAATTATTTATGAAAATAATTCTAAATACAAATTAATTTAAAAACCGTGCAAATTGGATACAAATTTAGGAAACAAATAGTTGTATAATTCTTAACCAGTTCTTCAAATCTTATTTTATAATTTCTTCTTTCAAAAAAAGTTTGTAAATTGGACAAAACCACGTGCAATTTTTATTTTAAAATAAAACTGATATTTGGATGGGATGTACATTCAAAATTGTGTCCAGATTTTTTTGTAACAAAAGCGTTTCATTTTTTATATTTAAAGTCACCTAATCCAATTATTTAGAAAAAATTGTGTGCATCTTTTCAAAATTTAAATGCATCGTTTTTTTTTTATTCTTATTTTTTTCTTAACCATGTTTTACCGATATTTTGGTAAGTTAATATCATTTTTTATTCGGTTAACTTCATATCATTTTCTTTAAGAAAGAGACAGTTGCATAAACATTAACAAATTATTTTAATTTTTTATTAGAATTATTTTCAATTCAATTTGTTTGGTAAAAAAATCGGTGCAATGTTAGAAAAATTCGGTTGCATTTTTAGAAAAAATTGATGATTTTTTTATTTGGATTAATTTGTTTGATAAAAAAATCGGTTTATTGGTAGGAAAATCAGTTTCATTTTCAGGAATAACTAATGATTCTTTTCAATTTTTCTTAATTGAAATTTATAATTAGATTTAAAATAAATAATGGGTGAAAATCCCTAAAAATTTCTACTTTTCTACTATAATTTTGTTTAATAAAAAGATCCTTTAATTATTTTAAAATTTGTTAATAAATAATATGCAATTTTAGATAAAATTCGAACACCTATGTAGTAATTTACTCGCCAAAGAATCAAACTAATAATGTTGTACATAAAGAAGTGGTTAATAACATATAAATTTCATTTTCATCATATTTTTAATGCCATGAGACAATTTAAATACAAAAATACCTTTTCAATGCTCCCGTGCATCGCACGGGTACCGTACTAGTTTATTATTTAAAGGCCATTTAAAACCATGGCTCCATATAATTTTTCTCTTTCTTTATTAGGAATTAAATGTGTCCTTAAAATATTTTAAGGGAGAGTTTCGCAGGAAATTCTATTGGAGGGTTTAACTTTGCGTTATTGTGTCGGCTTAAATTTTTAATTTTTTTATTTGAGAGTTTTAATTTTAAGTTATTCTCAATTAAATGCTTACTTTTAAATTTTAGTTCTCAATTTAAGTCGCCAACTAATTTTATAATATATGCAAAAAAAAAAACAAATACTAACATTATATTTTTACATAAATATGTAAACCAAAATACTATTATTTTGAAAACTATATTTTAAATAATTATAAATATCTTTGGAAATATTACTTTAGTAAGAAAATTAAATGATTTAAGCTAAATTAATTTTGCATCAATGTAAAGGAAAATAAAGTTGTACTTAAAGCTAGCTAGTCGATTGAGAACTGTTGAGTTGTAACGAAAATTTTTAGAAAAATATTTCATTTAAGCTCTTCATTACTTTTAGCTTAATGTAACGAAAAATTAATTCGTCAACTAGCTTTTGTTTAGTATTTGTTTTCAAATATGTGATAACTTAAAATAAACTATTTAAAAAATAATTATATTTTGTAAAATAAAAGTATAGAAAATATTATTTGTGAATAAAATTTATATCTTTTAAAAAAATTAAAAATATAGAAAATGAATACCTATAATAAAAGTATTAAGTATATTTGTAAAACTAGTTTCGTAAGAAAATTAATTCAAATAAATTATATTTATGAAAAATTAATTTAGCTTAAATGAATTAATTTCATTACTAAAACAATTTTACTAAAGATATTTATAATTATTTGAAATATAAATTTCAAAATAATAGTATTTTGGTTTACATATTTATGTAAAAACATAAAGTTAGTTGGTGTCTTAAATTGAGAACTAAAATGTAAAAACAAGTCTTTTATTGAGAATAATTTAAAATTGAAATCCTCAAATGAAAAAGTTGAAAATTTAAATTATATTGTCACAATAACAAAAAGTCAAGCCGAATTTTCCATTATATTATAGCGTATTGTAAGCACTCAAGCTAACTTCTAGCTCATTTATTTAATTAATAAATTTCTTGTACTCAAATATGTGATAGAATGAGGTTTTCTAAAATGTTGAAAAATAAGTTTTTTCATATAGTTTTTCAAGAAAACAATTGAATTACTTATTTCAGTTGATTATATGATAGTTTTATTAAATATTTTCATTACATCAACTAGTTTTTTTTTGTCATAAACCATTCGCTCAAAATTAACTTATAAACTGTTAGGTTGTGTTTGGTAAGCCAAATAAACTAGCTTATAGTTTATTTGATTAACTTATTATAAGTTTCTTGTATTCAAATAAGCCTCGTTTGGTAGGACTAACTTCTTTAAAAAGCTCGAGTTTATCTCATAAGCTACTTTAGGTAGCTTTTCAAATAAGTTAGTTGAATTTTTTATTTCAGCTAGCTTATCATCTAATTTTACCAAACACTTTTATCATATAAGCTAGTTTTTCAGTTATAAGTCATAAGCTATAAGCTATAAGCTCAAAAATTATATATAAGCTATCAACTAGCTTATCAGCTATCAGCTAGCTTATCAATTAGTTTTACCAAACATAGCCTTAACAATCAGTAAACTTTTCAACTAGTTTTATCAAATAATTAANGGGTATAAGTAAAAAATGCCCTTGATATAACAAAATTGAAAATACTCTCACTCACTTGATATGGTAGATTCGATCCAATCGATTAGAACATTACACTTATCGATTTTTTTTTAGCATTGAATCACATATATTCATACATATCCATACAAATGTTTGCTAAATATGTGTTAAATAAACAGTTAAGAAACCAACGAAGACGATAAGGACGATTATTCCAACTTGATATAAAGACGACCAATATTTTAGTTTTGGCAACTTTCGATTGACAAGCGTGGGTATAATTTTCATTCTCCACGTAAGAAAAAGAAAAGCTATCATGTTCGCGAAAACCCAAATATTTGATTTTATCTTACCTATTACATAAAATAATCTAACTTGCCTGTCTAATCCGATCACACAATCTTAAGTTTTACATCAATTGATCTCTTATTCATAAAGTATAGCAGTTTGTCAACGGCCATATCTGTTGGATACGGCACACTTTTCCATAAATAAATATTGGAGAGGAAAACATGCAGTGAGATTACAAGAATGAAAGGAGATAAAAGTGAAAAGAAAGCAAAACATGGCACGAAATTATCTAAACGGATGCCAAATGTGAAATGATTATAATTTGTTATTTGTCCATTATAGCCAACTAGTACTATTTAAGGTCCTTCAATTGCATGAATGAAANNAAATCTTGAAGCGTACACAAACGGAAGGTCCTATTGTTTCCACACGAGTACCTAGATGAAGTATTATTTTCATTGCTTTTTAAAAGGACAATCATCAAGTTGGATCTATTGACCGTTTGATACTAATAAGACTTGATCCTTTGTATCTTTTCATTGTTTGATTCTCATGATCACTCTTAAAGTTGCATACGAGTTGTGCTCGCATTTCTTGTACTCGAGTTTGACTCGAGTCTGTATCGAGTTAAGTTGCGCTAAACACGATTAATTAACTAAATGAATCAATGAATGAGCTCGACCTTATCTCATTTATTAAATGTGACAATTTGAATTTGAATTCAGATGTCAACATTTTTGGCCAAGTAAAATTTTAAAAATCACGCAAGAGCCCATATATCTCCAATCCAGTCTTGTTTACTAAATGAGTAGGGCCAAACTCGGGCCTTGACGGGCAAAGCTCACAAACAGCTTCTTTCATTTAATTTAACAGCTCTACTCACTCTATGTTCGGATTCCCCTTAATTTGATGGATGTAAAGTAATGAATTTGAAAGCTTAACTAAATCAGTTCTAAACCCAAATGGAATCAAATTGAGTTGTGCTAAACATGATTAGTTGACTAAACGAATCAATTAGTTGACTAAATGAATCAAAGGATGAGTTCGACCTTAACTCATTTATCAAAAGTAACAATTTAAATTGTTAGGCCAAGTAAAAATTTTAAAATCATGTAAAAGCCCTTATTTCTCCAACCTAGGCTCGTTTAATAAACGAGTCAAACCAAACTCGAGTCTTAACGAGCAAAGCTCACAGACACCTCGTTCCTCATTTAATTTAATAGCTCTACTCACTCTACATTCGGATTCCCCTGACTATTAAGAAAATGTGTCGATATTTGGTAAGAAAATACCGTTAGAAATGATACCATACTTCGCTTAATTGTGAAGTAATGATATTGAAAACGAAATTAAAACTAAGTCAAATTCTAAACCCAAACGGAATCTACGAGTCTGTCTGGCATGAGCTTCATAATAGTAACACATAAATAACAGGCATGGAATTTCTGGTGTAAGGAAAAAACTTCTATAAGATCACATATCTCAGTTAGTCCTTCAAACATGTATACACCACCTATTCAAGATCCTATACTTCATCTGTGTGGGGAAAAAAAAACAAAAAGAGAAAGGTCTCGACCATCTGAAACACACCCGTCAGTGAAAATCGAGTATCCGCACCTATCTTTTTCTATTCTTTGTATAATCATTGTCACCCTATAGCTGTGATAGCTTCAAGATTTTGGAAGCACATGAAATTTGAAAGACGTAAGCTGAAAACTAAATCGAATGACTAAGAGGGCCGATACCTAACTCGTCTTCAACGTCATCAGTTTCTTCAAACAGTTTCAGAAAACGGGCCTGCTGTTGCTGCCTCTTTCTTTTCTGCCACCATTTACAAGCACTCACCAAGCCAGTAATAAGTATGGTCGACACTACAATAGTGAGAACTACGATTATCGCCCAATGCAGCTGTTTCGAGTCGATTTTTACTACTGCAGTATTTTCTGAAACAGACAAAATCAAATCACCAAGAGTATTCACAAAATCCATACTTGAGGTTGAGGCTAATTATGAAGGAACCCGATTAATGTTTTTGAAAAGCACAAGTACCCACTTAAAAGCGTACAAAGGTCAAAATCAAGGTTTGTGTTTGGGTAAAATTTGAAAGAGATAAATTTGAGGCGTGCTTTTGTAATTAAACCAAAATACGCTAAAAATGATAAGTTTAACACAAAACAATCTCTTTTGCTAGCATTTGATTTGCCAGTCTCGGGTGACCCCAATCAGTTATTGGTTTGAGAAGCATCTGAATAACGAGTAATAGTCAAACAAATTCTACCCAAAATAAATGTTTTTGCAAATACTCTACATGAGAAACAAGCCCAAGCACCAAAAGGAACACTATTAACCATGATGAAAGGATAAACCACGAGCAGTTGCTTTATAGAACCATGATGAAAGGATAAACCACGAGCAGTTGCTTTATAGATGCTGAATAACATTTCAAAAGTTGATTTCAGCTAAAGATGTAACAAGCAGTTTCTACAATTTTATAATATATTGTGGAAAGTCTCACCTTGTCCTTGAGGAACACATTCTGAACATAAAAAAGATGCATTGAATTCCCCTGCTTTGAAATGAAAATATTTGCCACCGGGGCTCTTAAAATCAGCTGGACAAAGTTCCCATTCGTCAAATATTACCGTTTTAATAGCATCTTTTTCATAGAATCCACAACGCTTGCACTTTTTGTCTTTAAACTCTGTCAGGGGCTGTAATGAACAGACGACATGTAATTACTCACCCTGAAGTTTATAACAATTCACATAAACAAAGAGGGACAAGGGGGAATACAATATCATCATAACGGTCATGAACCAATTTAAAATTACCAAAACAGATATAGTGACAGATCATAGAAAGACAATCACAGAAAATGTTAAGTGATGGAAGCGGGGAAAAGATATAGTAACAAACACTCACCTGCCAAGATTCTTCCTCTTTGAAGGTATACGGAACATTTTTTTCTTTCACGTCTGGTAAAGTTATCTTATCCTCCCCTTTGCACTGAAAGTAAACTGACGGTTTTGATGGAAGCCACTCATGGGTTTTGATTATCACCATAGAATCAAGTGTAACAACTGCAGCTGATACAAAAACTGAGGCAGCAAAGAGAAAGAAAAGAGTAAAATTACCAGTAAATCAACAAAATATCATCAAGTTCAATAGGCAAACACAATTGATGCATGTCACTCTCGTATCAAAATGCAAAAATTATCACCTCTCAAAGATATGCACCTCAACAACACAATAAAAAGACCAAAAATTGAAAGGGACAAAAAAAAATTATCAGTTCTGAGCCCCTCAACGCAAAAAAGGATAAAAGAATTAGAAGAGAACTCAAAATTTGTCAGTAGTGAGTACCCTCAACAGCACAAAAAAAAGGAAAAAAAGTTAGAAAATAACAAAATTCATCTTAGTTTATCTCCTCCCTACCCCCACACATACACACACGACTCAAACACACTAAACAATAGTCAATTTTGCACAAATGGAAACTGCCAAGAAACCGTGATTCCTTGTTTCGTTTATCTGAACTCGCCTGTATTATTATCCAATCAATATAATAATCACTTGAACATACATGGCCAAATTCGACCCTACTGGTGAGGGCACTCTTCTATCATTGGATCACATATACTCACACCCACCCACATTGGTCTGTGTTGATCCAATCGTGCAAAACACGATGAGAGCACGTTGAATATTTCTACATACACAAGCTAAGAACTCCATATCCACAAAATCTATTTCCTTAATCAGCGATAATTCCTCTGACCTCTGCTCACAATATGTCACAACACAAACGAGAACTAATTCATCATCTTCAAACCAAGAATTCTCTTCAACCAGACAAAAACAATCACATGAAAAAATCAATCCACATACGAACCAAANACCTGGAGAACAGCCGAGGATGATCGAGCACGACAGCAGAACTGCAAGCGGAACCCTAGGGCACAGACGATGTCGTATCATCCCGCCGTTGATCCTCGCTGCCCCCATGGCTATCAATTAATGGATTGGAAAAAAAAAAAGAAGAACAGATAAAAGGTATTCAATCCTATTTCATCCAACAAACACAGAGCTTATGAATTTTTCGATTTATTTAACTAATTTGTTTATTTCATTTGAGGCAGATGAACTGGCGTGAAGAAAGAGCGACAAGGTTGTGCACCGTGCAGAAAATGTTGTACCTTAGAAGGGATCAGACCGAAAAATCTATCTCGTGCAAAAAGGTGACATGAAAGATAAAAAAATTATTTAGAAAGAAATGAGATAAGTTTGAGATAGTAAATAAAAATGAGATAAATAAACATATATTATAGTTCAAATTAATGTGATATATATATATATATATATATTAATGGATAAAATTGGAAGTTAGAAATGTAAAAGTTAACAAATAAAGTTTTTTGTTAGAAAATACATAATAATAATTACTTTAAAAATGTAATTGTGTTTATAGGAATGTAGAAAAAAAATATTAATGTAGATTTTTTTTTCTTTATTTCTTTTTCAAAGTCGATTTGGTTAAACTCGGCTGGAAAGAAAATTAACTAATTCTTATCATTTCAAATCTCCCCCTAAAAGTATGTACTAATGTAATTACTAAACAATAATGTTGACTAAAATAGACACTCCTAATTAAGTGTAGTGTTATGAATGAGTAATACCAAAAATATTTGAAACAATCAAGACCATCAATATTAATATAATTGATGGCTAGGATTGGTTCCTAGTTCTTACACTCACATAAAGCTCTCATTTGAACTCTTTCCTATATATATAAATGAGGTAAATTTAAACCTTATATAAAATGAGATACAACTAAAATAATTGAGACTGATATAAAAGTTGTAAAATTTTAATTTGTAATATTAATAATTTTTTTAAAAAAATGTACGAATGGATTTTTATTTTTTTTACTTGGAAATATGTAAAATGGTTAACTATTTTTTTTTAAAATGTGTCAGGGGAGTTATAGATATGAAATTTAGACGGAATTAATGGCATTTTTTATAATTTTAATGAAATGAAGTTTGATTAGACAAATAAAAATATTTTTTTCATTGGATCGCCACCTTAGTAAATTGACAATTTTATAAAATATTATCAACTAGTTGATTATAGAAATTTCAATAATTTGTATAAATAATCATAAGAAATGCAATACAGTGGAAAAAATAAAATAATAATTTTAAAATAATGAGGTGATACCAAGACTAATACAAATCATACTATTCAGTTATCTGGAAATTTATAAATTATAAAACGACCGTTGAAAGACGAAATAATCGATGGCTAATTTTTTCCTATATATACCACGCTTATGGACGAACATTTGTGAATGGTGCAACTGATTGTCAAAAGGAAGATTTTGGTCTTTCTCGAAGTCCAAAAGGTGGATTCTTTCCGTGAATATTTAATATTTTGAAATCATGAACTTCTCATTTCATAAGGGATCTTATTCCACCTTTAATTTTAATAATGTTTAAGCTNGAAAAAAAAGAAGAAGAAGAAGAAGAAAATGAGAGAAAAATCAAATAGAATTAATAATTTTTTTAAAAAAAATATTTTTCTTTTCTAATTTACAATGTAAAAGAGATAAAACACTTGAATGGCAAACAAAATCCTATGTCCAATCTCCACCAAATATACATGATATGTTTAATTAATAATTTGCAATACTTCATTCATCAATCTATTCTTTACCCACCTCAATAAGCATGTTCATAACCACGTTTTGGACTTTGATACCCAAACGTTCATATGGTCAATATGGGAGATTTGGAATCGTAATCGAATGGTTATGAACCGAGGATTATAGTAATTTTTGTCCTAAACTCACGATTTACGTTTATAACTCCGTTTTTTGGGAAAAAATTATAATTCATTTGAACATTTGGGCCTTTATTACCCGAAAGAACTATTAAATTAATGAATGAAAATGGGATATCGAAGGAATATCATGTGCCGATTATGCCTCCAAAAGTGAAATAATCATTTACATTTTGATTTTTAGAAGTGAAATTGTGCTAACAAATATAGCATTTTTGTCTTTATTCACCTCAATAATGAATTTGATCAAAAGGACTTTCATATTGAAGTACTTTGCTCGTTCTTAGAGGACCCACAATGAATTGAGTCTCTTAATAAAATATCATATGCCACATAGTAAATAGACTTAATCTGTTAAAAATTATCTCCCAATGCAATTAAAAGTGGACATAGTCTAACTTATGTGACAATAAAAAAAGAGACCAAGTCCACACTTGGGTCTATTTTAGACCCAACTACAAACTCAAACACTCATCATTTATTCCAAATTTAAATTTTCTTATAATAAGAGAAACATATTAGAACATTTTTATTGGTTGGCATGTATGCTAGACCTAGTATTTTATTTTTGCATTGAATAGCTTTTGAGTTTTTTTACTTGGGTTTGTCCATGTCATTTAGGACTTAAGTCTATTTATATGCCTCATATGTAAAATTAGACTCAATGCATTGTGGGTGCTCTTAGGGAATACTGAGTTTGTTCGTGTTATCCACAAAATAATAGATGAGATTAGTTTTAATACCAACTGGTACAATACATGTGTACTACACAGGTGTTGAGTTAAAAATATATTATAAATGTTATTGCTAAAGAAAATTTTTATTTAAAATTTTTAATGGACTAATTAATGAAAAAAAAAAAAAGAATAGACAGTGCATAAAGTGATTTGTAAATATTAAATCGTAATTTTAGGAAAAAAATATGGGAGAAAATTATAAGATGGTAAAATTGCTATTTGCCCAAATGAAGAAGAAAATTTGTACTAAGATATAAAAAAAAATAACAAAATTAAATACACATTTACCAAGTTTGAAAAAAGTTATTTATGTCTATACCAAACCTAATTCCAAAGCAAAAAATTAATATACAAACAACATTTCGAAGCATAGATTTTTGCCATGTCAGCATCCGAAGCGTGTGAGTCTGCCACTTAGGCTCAACACATTTTGAATTAATATATAAGGGGGAAGGGGGATGGGAGATTTGTTGAAGTATTGAAATATAAATTATTGCAGATTTGTCCAATTTCTCCTCACAAAATTAAAATTTTCAAAAGTGACATTTCTTTTTTTGGCGCGTTCATTTTTTCATCTCTTTTTCACCCACAAATTCATGTTTTTAAAATTATAGTTGAGATCATGGGTTTCAAATTATTTGTGTTTTTGTAATTAATATTCTAATATTTAATAAAAATTGTAACTGTTATATTTTAAAAATTAATATAATTGCACTCTTTGTTAATTTGGTAAGTAAATTATATTTTTTATTTTTAATTGCAAAAATAAAATTAATTTTTAAGGCAATTATTTGAAGTAAAGTAATATATAATTTTTGATTTTTTCTTAGAAAATAAATTTATAAAAATAAATCATAACCATATCAATTATTTTGTCATTTGTAGAGATTCCATTATTAATATATATATATATTTATATATATGATAAATAATCCTACCTATTTTTTTCCAGCCACTTTAATAATGTAAATCAATGTTAGTTTTATCAACTTATGTTATTTTTTACCAAGTTTTATTCCAAACTAATTTTTAAGTGTTGTAAAATACATAAAATTTTATAAATTGGTCTATTAATTGAGATGCAATGGTTCTTTTATTTTTTCTACATATTTGCAAAAAAAGTACATTCTTATTAATGTGTAACAAGTGATTGTGATATTTAATAATGACCAAAATAGTTTTATAATAATATAATACCGATATAAGTATTTAATTGTAAGTAAAAAATTACAGCTGAAATAATCTTAATCTACATGTAACCGCTTAATTGGACTTCCGGTACATAAGAAGAAATCGAAAATACCTTTTATCTCATACTACTCTCTCGATAATCGAATATTTAAAAAAAAAAAAAAAGAATACACAATTTCATATTGAATTTGAAGTTCCATGCTATTATTACTTACTATTGATATTTGATTTCTTCTGTGCAATACTCATCGATAGGGCCTCGTTGGTAAGTGCTCCAAGATCTCTTGCACTCAGGGCCGTCTCCAAAAATTTGGAGGCTCTAGACAAATTTGTCCTTTTCGAATTTCCCGATTTGAACTTGCGTGGTAATTAGGCTATTTGCAGATAGAATCATAGAAGAAAAAACTTAGTTAAAAAAGACCATTAAATAAATAAATAAATAATTGAAAAACAAATTCTTGTTTTTCTAGACTTTTGAATTGATAAATTACCTATGAGTTACAAAGATTTTTATTAATTTACATTCAAGCAGTCATTAGAACAACATGGAGAAGAAAATTAAAACCATATCACTACAAAGAATATTTATTATCACACAATTGTTCTAACCGAACATTATAAGAAAACAAATGAAATATTTAGGGCCTCAAATTTCCACACAAAGTATATATTTTGTCATTAACTCATTCATTAATTAGCCCCTTCATTTTTATAAAGGCCAAACTCATTACAAATATATAATATTTAAAAAAAAATGGGGCCCCAAATATATGGGGAGGCCCTAGGCTGCCTCCCCAAGGAGCCGGCCCTGCTTGCACTGTAACCCATGGTTATGGCATTGTCGAATCCCTTGTTAATATGGAACCCTTTCGTTTCCAAGTGATATCCCCTAGTGTATGAAAGAGTAAAAACGTGCTTTCTTTGTTGTGGCCTAAGAAGCCTTCGTATTTTATTATATAAATATAGTATGTATATCATTTGTTCGATAATTCTCTGAAAAAAGATCAATTTATGTGGTATATAAGGTTTACGTTGTTCATTTTAAATTTATTAGTTTTTACTTTGGTAATGCTTTTATGTTTATTATACTAATAAAATATTAAAATTGTATAAAAATTATGTTATTCATTACGTTTATATAATAATAATTATTAATATATGGTAAATTCTACACTTATTTATGGGAGTACAAAAATCCAACTATGAGTCTTTAAGTAATTGATTATANCGATAGGAAGATATTTCATTCAACCAGAACAAAGAAAATACAATCAGATAGGCTGAATAGCCCCACTGTTCAAAGAAAATACAGAGACCAACCTTCAGCTGATCTAAACTCCTAGCACCACATTACATAGCCAATACTACACAAATCTAACTTTGGCAGATACAACAGAAACCAAAGCTAACAATGACAACATAAACAATGAAACAACAGACAACCTCATAATAAGCTAACAACACTCTGAAAACAGAAATTACAAACAAAGATGTATCACCACTGAACCACAAGGACCTAGCAATCACCATTGTCT